TGGTAAGTCATTTTTTTCTCATTAAGTCTGGATATTCATTTATATGAAATTTTTTTTCTTGTAATGATGAATACTGAGCATGTATGCTGTATTAAATCTGGAACATCCTTGGAGTCGCCCTGGAAGTATTCAACTTCAAATTTTGTGGGTAAATTTGTGATTATTTATATATTTTTTTAAAGATTTTATTTATTTATTTGTCAGAGACAGAGGGAGAGAGAGTGAGCAATCACAGGCAGACAGAGAGGCAGGCAGAGGCAGAGGGAGAAGCAGGCTCCCTGCCGAGCAAGGAGCCCGATGTGGGACTCGATCCCAGGACGCTGGGATCATGACCTGAGCCGAAGGCAGCCGCTTAACCAACTGAGCCACCCAGGCGTCCCAATTTGTGATTATTTTTATCAAGATTATTTTATTATTTTAATTACAGAAAGTATCAGAACACACTTAGGAAATAAAGAAAGGGGGTAGGGAATTAGAGATGGGATCAGTTCTCCAGTTTTTCCAAAATAATATATATATAAAGGTTCATGAAAACAAATGAGATGTTTAGTAAATCACTCATGACATGTTTTCTGGTTTTCTGAATCTAAATCATTTGACTGATTTGAGAAAATGTTAAGTTAGATAGGAGCCAAAGCTTGATTTCCTAAAGGCTTATAATAAAGAAATTGAATTAAATTCTGTCGACAGTAAGAAGGCATTGCAAATTTAGAATCTGTGATGGGATGTGGTGAGATAGGTCATATTTTTGGAAACAAATCTGACAGCAGGCTGGAGTAGAGGAAAGAGTTATAGCCAGTGCATTTAGCCTGGGAAAGACAGGAGGAAGACCCAGTGATAAAAGGTGGATTTAAGCCTTATTAAAATGACAGGATTCTGGTGCATCTGATGAAAGATTGGATGTGAGTGATGAGGAACAGAAACTAGTTGAAGGTGGTGGTCAGATTACACATTTGCATGTGGAGTTTGGGAAGATTAGAATTAGTTAGGGGTCACTGCTCTTTTAAAAAGAAAGATGGCAGAGAGGGCATGTGGAGAAATTACATAAGGAAAGCTTCAACTCCTCCTCCTTCAAAGGTTGGGTAAAGAACATTTAAGGAGGAAAAATATAGATAAATACAGATGTCAAGTCACCGGACTTGACTTCCAAATATTTTGTCTTTGGGCAGTCTCTACTTACAGGTTAAACAATGTTTCAGTAAAGGACAAAAATGATAACTTTTGTTGTAAAGTCGGCAAATATATAATTCTTACTTATCAGAAGGAATGGACTGCTTGCAACAAAATTTATACTTCATGTTAATTCATGATACTGAAGTAGGTGTATCTTGTTTAGAAGTTTCCATAGGCAATAAGGCACTTAACCATATTTAATCAGTTTGTGGAAATTAAGTAACTTAAATTATATTTTTGGTTCAGAATCTTTAAATACAAACATTGGAATTTAAAAGCTAGATATTTGATTCTATTTAACTCTACACAATGAGTTGTTACAGTTTTAAATCATTCCTTATGTGTCTTTGAGTGAACCGTATTGTTTCTTGTAGCTCTGAAGTATTTCTTTATTAAAGTAGAAGAATCTATAATTATGAGGTCCTCTAGTTATGAGGAGTCATGTGTAATGACAAGTCAATGAATAAATAAGTGGAAAATAAATACTCTTTGGTTGTATTCCACTTCTGTGATACCAAGTTTGATGGTGTTTTTAATCATTAAAATGGGTCACCTGGGTGGCTCATTTTGTTAAGCATCTGACTCTTGATTTCAGCTCAGGGTCATGAGAACAAGCCCTACCTTGGGCTCCACATTCAGCTGGGATCTGCTTGAGATTCTCTCTTCCTCTCCTTCTGCCCCTCCTCCTGCTTGCACACACACTCTCTCTGTCTAAAATAAATGGATAAGTCTTTAAAAATAAAATGGGCTTAAAATATTAGGAATATAACTGATTTCATGAAACAAGTTATTTGCTTTTTTGTAGAGACAAAAACAATACATTTTGTATTTTTACTAAGACTTCTCATTCAGTCATTCAACAAACCTTATCTACTAACCTAGGTGCTATCCTAAACCTTGGGGATACAGTAGTGAGCAAAACAGACATAAATCCCTGTCCACATGGAGCTTAAATTCTGGGAAGAGCAGATAATCAACTAATAAATTAGTAAACATATGTATTATGCTATTATGGTAACTTGTGGAGAAAATAAGTCTGGGAGGGAGGAAAAGGAGTGCTGGGTGAGACAATTTTATATAGGTAGCCAGGGAAGGCCTTAAGGCTTTAGCTGAGAAGATATAAGGAAGTATGGACATGTGGAAGTGAACTAAGTAGATCTCTTGGAGGACGGCATTCCAGGCAGAAGGCATAAGAAATGCAAAACCTCTAGGGTGGTAAGCAGACTTGTGAGTTCCAGGAATAGCAAGAAAGCCAATGTAGAATGACTGAGGGAAGGTAAGGAAGAGTGGCATGAGATGAGATCACAAAGCTAGTTGGGGGCCAAGTCATGAGGCCTTGTAGGATGTTTTAATAATTGAGTGACAGGGGAAGGCATAGTGGATGTTAAACACAGAAATGGCATGATTCAAGTTAACATTTTATTTTATTTTTTATTTTATTTTTTTAAGATTTTATTTATTTATTTGACAGAGATCACAAGCAGACAGAGAGGCAGGCAGAGAGAGAGGAAGGCAAGCAGGCTCCCTGCCAAGCAGAGAGCCCGATGTGGGGCTCGATCCCAGGACCCTGGGATCATGACCTGAGCCAAAGGCAGACACCCAACTGACTGAACCACCCAGGCATCCCTTATTTTAGATTTTGATCTTATCCCCTTTCAGTTTCTGTTTACAAGTATATTTTATTAACCCTTTGTGTATATACGTTATCTTGTTTAATTCTCACAAAACCTCTGGAAGGTAGCTAGGATAGACATTATCTTAATTTTATAGATGAGGAAAACAAAAGCAGAGGTTAATTTAGTGACAAAATCAGAACCCAAATATACCTGACTTCTGTCATAGTATGTTTTCTATTAACCAAACCACTTTCTTTCCCATTTCATTCATTACTTTATTTGTCCTTCTCTGGGTACTTTCAGCTTGGTTTTGTCCTTGAGATTAGATGCCAGAACTACTTGGCCTTTTCTCTAGGGAGGTTTTTAAAATAAGGATAAGATAATGTTTTCTGGTTTTCTGATTTGCTTCTATAACTTTTTCTGATAATGTTAAAAATTACTTTCATAGTTATTTTTGCTTTTTCATTTGTTTTAGCAATTGCAGGAAATGCAGGAACACAGGATTGATGTTTTAATAAAATGGTTTACAATGGCTACTAAATTAGTCTTCTAGTCATAATGAATTCTCTTGAATACAACAACTGTAATCTAAGTTACCTCATACTGGTACGCAATAAAGTTCATTTGCCATGTTTCTGTTCACTTGCACAGCCATGTGAAAATTTCTTGTAGATGTTCCTGCCAATTTGTCATTATATTATCTTTGAATGCTGTTTCACTTCCTAATTGTTAAGTTGTTGGAATCCCTAATAAAAAGTAATTTCATTGACCAATGCAAGCACCTATTCTCCCAAAGCAAACAAAAATGACACATAGATAATTTCTGAAAGTGCTGAGTGTGATCGATATGTAAGTCAAGGAAGAATAGTTCAACCTTTCCAAAAGGTTTTTCACAGAGTGTCATACCTCAGATTAATAACAATAAAGAAATAAGGAAACATTCACTATAGCATGGAGGAATAGTCATGTCAGACAATAGAATTAAAGATGGAAAACGAATAGTGTAAATTGACTTGTTTTGAAAGATACAATCAAAATAACTTTTCATAAATTGACAGTAGAGTCTCCAAATTATACTGTGATATGCTCCCTTTTTCCTGTTTCTTTGGAATTTTCTATTGTGGACGAACTGCTTAACTTCCTGGAATTCTTTCTAGGGTAGTTGTTTTAGTTTTCACTCAACTGGATTGTGGCTTTGTCCTCCTTCTAATTCAGACTTTCTTGACTGCCTGCTCAGTCTATTTCCTGTTCTTGGAGGGTCTTCAACTCCTGTTAAAAGTAAAGCTTCCAGGGGCGCCTGGGTGACTCAGTGGGTTAAGCCTCTGCCTTCTGGGATCCAGCCCCATATGGTGCTCCCTGCTCAGCAGGGAGTCCACTTCCTCCTCTCTCTCTGCCTGCCTCTCTGTCTACTTGTGATCTCTCTCTGCCAAATAAATAAAATCTTAAAAAAATAAAATAAAATCAAAGCTTCCAGAAGTCCTTCCTGATTCCCCAAAGTGCTCTCCTTTCATTGATTCCACAACATCTGGTAGAATCTTTTGTTGCTTTTTTCATCCCTCATCCTGGATCGCCAGCCTCTTCTGGACACCAGTTTGTATTCTCAATGCACTTATACTTAATCAAATTTTTTTTGTTGTTGTTTTGTTTTTGTTTAATCAAATTAGGGCATCCACTTAGGATTTCGTTTTTGGATACACTATCCCATGGCCACTCCATCCACTAATTGTCCATCTCGGGCCATTGGCTTTCACAATGGAAAGTTATTATAAATACTTTAAAAACATTTGAGTGCATACCATATTGAAAGTGATTTATGCTTTTCAAATATAGAAAGTAAAAGTGGAAGGAGCACATTTCAGATACTCTGCCAAAGATGAGTTGGGCGCTGGAGGCAAAAAATTCGGGCTACCATTTAAGGAGTGTGACCAGGTAACACCAATATTTCCTTAAAATATGAGTGCCCAGTGGGTCACCCACATTTTATTTAGGTCTCGAAATCTCGGTCAAGTACTTAAACTGAGAAGACTCAGGAGTTACGTGATTACACATCATAATCACGTTCCAAATCCCCGAAACGTTTTGGGATCCTTCTCGGGGAATTTGGGCCGGCGCTGGGCGCAGGATTGCGGTCCCCCCGAGCCCATCCTTCGCCGGCTCCCCTCCGCCCACGGCGCTGCCGCACTGCATGCTGGGAGTCGTAGTTCCGCCTGGAGGCGCCCAGAAGGACGGAAGGGCCTCGGAGTCTAGCCAGCCTTCTCGCTAGTAGAGGTCCGGTCCTTCGTCTGGCTCCCTTTCGTTCTCTGGGGGTAGCCTTCTGTGAGCACGGCTTTATTTGTCTGTGCCACCGTTTCTGTTTTGGGTTTCAATAAAGTTTTCCTCTTCCCTTGTACAGATCTCAAGATGGCGGCCTCCTGGTCGCCCTTGGTTACCCTGCGCTTAGTGCAGAGCCGGCTGAGAGGGAGATGTATTGGGTGCGGGGCCCGGGCTGCTGCTCTCGCCCCTCCGGCCACCGCCCCTGGAAACACCTTTTGGAAAGGTCAGTGACTGTGCCATGAGTAGGCCGAGCCCACTGCAAATGACCGGGGAAGCCTCGGGTCAGTTACCCTCCCTACTCTGTTTTCGCCCAGTTGCCTCCTGGTTTCACGATTTTTGGAGCTAGGGTCCCTTGGCGAGAGGAGTTTCAGCCTCTCTTGTCCTGTCTGGCAGCTGATGAAGGAGCCCTGAGTACTGAGGAAGCTGACCCAGGACGGCTTTCATTTTGGGATCAGAGGTCCACTAAGAGTTTGTTCCCTTCAGGCAGTTAGAGTTAACACCTGCTGAGCCCAGTTGTGGGAGTGCCTGGCTGAAGGGGTGCAACTGTGGGATAGGGGACTGGGGGCCCTTATAGTTGGCCTTCCCTGCTCTCCCGAATGGTGACCCTGCAAGGCATCTAAAAGCCAAACCTCAGACTTCTGCCGGCCAGGCTGACTCTCGGGGGTTCTGGGAATGCAGGTGTGCAAGTATTCTCAGATTGAAGAATCAGTTCTTGTTCTTTTCAGGTCACTAGAGGCTTCAGTGGGGTGTATTTTGTCGTTAGGCTTGCTCCACTCATTCATTCAAATCCTTACGTGTTCATGAGTGAATGGTCATATGTTGTCCCATTAAACTGCAGGATACTCAAAAGCAAGGACCAAGTGTCTTGTTTCTTCAGCACTTGGCGCAGTGTTTGGCGCCTGACCCTTAAAGTCTATTTCCTGAATGAATGAATGAATGATGTTATTCTTATTGTCTTTTCCAAGCATACTTATGTTTTCTTTTTTCTTAACTCCAGCACCCTTCTCATTGGCTTATCTGGCTAAAACCCTATCAGTCTTTAATTATTACCATCAATAGAGTTGAAATTAATACTAGAACTCTGATTAAGTCACCTTAGATTTTTCTGCAAAGTTTAGCATAATTCACTATATATAATGGGATATTTTTGGTATCATAAGGGTTGAGTCATAATATAAACTTTATTTTTTTTTTAAATTTGTGAAACAGGTAATAAAAGCAAATGATACAAGAAAAAATATGGTAAAATGTTCCACCCCTATCCCTTAGTAGTTTTCCTCCCTAGAGGCAACCTCTAATATTAGTTTCTTATGTATTCTTCGGGACGTTCTCTGTATGAACAAATATGTATGTATTTAAGTAAGTGTCTGTATTTTAAAAAGTGGTAACATACATATCCTCCTGTACCTTTCTTTTATTTTTTGTTTAGTATATCTTAGAAATCGTTACATATCAATACATAGAGAACTGCCTTATTTTATTTTTTAAAATTAATTCATTTGATAGCATAAGCAGGGGGTGTGGCAAGTGGGAGAAGGAGAATCAGGCTCTACACATAGCTGGGAGTCGGATGTGGGGCTCCATCCCAGGACCTCAGGATCATGACCTGAGCCTAAGGCAGTTGCTTAACAGACAGAGCTACCCAGGCACTCCTAGAACTGCCTCATTTTATTTATTTTTTTATTTAACTTAAAAAAAATATTTTTTATTTATTTGACACAGAGAGAGACAGCGAGAGAGGGAATAGAAAGAAGCAGGGGGAGTGGGAGAGAGAGAAACAGGCTTCCCACTGAGCAGGGAGCCTGATGCGAGGCTTGATCCCAGGACCCTGGGATCATGACCTGAGCTAAAGGCAGATGCCTAACGACTGAACCACCCAGGTGTCTTATAGAACTGCCTTATTTTAGATGGTTAAAATAGAATTCTATTCAATGCATGTTCCATAATTTATGAAAATTTAAGATTTAAGGAATGTCATCATAATAACATAAGATTTACTGAATGCTTATTCTGTGCCATGCAGTATGCTAAGTGCTTTCTACACACTTTATCTTATTTAATTCTTATTATCCTCATTTTGGGGATGATGGATCCAAGGTTGCAGAAGTTATATAGCTAGTGAAATGTCAGAACTTTTGGCTTCAAGTAAAGGCTATACTTGGATTTACATCTGACCATAAAGGCTTTGCTATTAACCTGTACTCATATTTAAAAAAAAATTAAATCAAGATATTATTGCTTTCAGAATTATCTCTTAGAATTTCAGAACTCACCAGAAACCAAAGGGTTAATGGAACTAATTGCAGCTGCTACTTTTCCTCTAAACCTTTCTCATTTGCCTTTAAATTTCTCTCCTACTTCTGAGATGTGGGTTTGAGGCTTGTTCTCCCATCTTTTACTTTGCCTGCCTCTCCAGTAAACCCTTTTCCTGCTGCCTACTTGATTCTCAGTGATTGTCTTTGCTGCACATTGGGCCGCCAGACTTGGGTTTTGTTACAGATTTGGCAAGCTAGCCAGGAGTTCTTTGCCTGCCTGTGGGTGGTTTGTTGGCCCGCAGTTGGGGATGGGGGCCTGGCGACAAGTCCAAGCAGCTGCTTAGGTTCTTTGCCTTAGGGACTGTCCCTGGGGCCCCATCCCAACTGGGTACCTTTGACTTTCAACACCTCATTTAACCTTTGTGGCAGGGAAACGTTTCCTTGGATTCAGTTTGGACAGATGTCTCTTGGTGAGTAGTATTTCGTGTGATGGCATGTGAGTTTATTTCTTCCTCCTGTTTGGTTTGGCTCTCAGATTTCTCCTCCCATTCAGTTGCCTTCAAATAGTGGGTTTTGGTTCTCTTAGTGTCCTTTTCTTTAAGAAAAGGCTTGGCTAGGGAGCCATTTGGTTCAGTCTGTGGAGCCCCAACTTTTGGGGAAGAACAATGTTCACAGAGGTACTCTGGGCTTCATTTTGTTGTTGTTGTTGTTGCTAAAGCTTTTGGTATTTTAGAATAAAACAAGCTGTGTTCTAATTGGAAAATGGGAAATGACAATTTCATCTCCACATGCAGCCCTTTGGCCTGTATTCTCCAAAACTGGGCAGTCCTTTTTGGCAACACTGCTTGGCTGCGTCCATTAATTATAATACCATCTTGCAATTAGATTTGTGTTGTAAAAGGGGGATATCTAGAAATTGGACCTTTAAGATTTTGTTTGCATCTTGTGTATTTGTGTGTCCTTGTATGTTGTAAATGTGAGATATTTTCTCTACCTCTGGGTGTTATTGCTAAAATTAATTTTGTGGAAGAGCTTTATTTAGTGGTTCCAAGGCAAGCATTTGTAAGAACTGGGCATTCTGAAACTGAGAAAGATGGAAACTAACCCAGCTGTTTAAGTTCACATGAGCTTGGAAAATATTCAGTATTAAGGCTAATTCAAGATTATTCGTTTAAATAAAAGGGCCACGTCTTTAGAATTGTCAGCATTAAATATAAAGGTTTTATTCTGCCTGTCTTTACTGAAAGTCAAATAAACTCACCATTGCAAAATTTGTTAGAATTTCGTTAAGAACTTGTTCTTATTAAGTTGTATGGGCGATCTAAGAATAAATAAACAGATGTAAGTACTTTTAACAGATGTAATTAAGACTACTGGAAATAATAAGAGTAACAACTCTATATGCCAGGAAAGTGAGCCTGGTTACCTAAAGAGGACAAAATCTGAATGTGAAAAGTAAAATTGTGAGATGTTGTGAGAAGTAAAGTTTTAGAAGTTTTGTGAGAAGGGGATTTTTGGAAAGGAATTTTGTGGGGATTAGTTTTTTTATGGAGATTAATTATGGAGATTAGTATTTAAGAAGTTTGTTAGTGATTAACACCGGAAAAAGAGAAGGGAGCATAAAAGAACAAGAGTAGGCAGAAGTTGAGCAGTGATATGATATCAGCAGAAGCCTTAACTGATTCTCTTGAGGAGTTCCAAAAGTTGGTTATCCTTTAGAATCATCCTAAATTGAGACAAAAGGGCTGGCCTTTTGTAACAGTGATTGGACATGACCACTTGGGAAGAGGGCATACCCTTGGTAAGGCAGCTAGCTGTCTTCAGTCAAGACAATCCTGATGGTGTCTGAGAGCTGAGGACTGTCCGGAGCATTCCTACAGCTGAGAGTCCTTCGTTCCTGATGGAGATATGTTTATGGATGGGAGCAGTTTTATGGATCAAAGACAATGAAGAGCTGGATGCAATGGCGACCATCAACTATTGTCCATTGCTGAGGACACCAGAAATTGGACTGATTGCTCAAGGGAACAATAGGCAGATTAAGCTGCCAGTTTGGCAAAGACTCCAAAAACCTTTTGTAATGACTTTAGTGCCAGACATGGGTTTAACTAAATATTAACCCAGTTTTCCTGGGAGGACCTCAAAAGAGCAAGAAATGAGAATTTTTTTTTAAATTTTCTTTCTTTTTTTTTTTAAGGAACAGGAATTTGGCACCATATTGGCACTAAAGCCTGTTCGAGCTAAAATGAATCCTTATCCGAGAACATCTTATGGAAGAAATGATTAACCATATTCTCCAAAGCACCCATTATGGTTAAAATACTACTCTTTTTTTTTTTTTAAGATTTTATTTATTTATTTGACAGACAAGAGATCACAAGTAGGCAGAGAGGCACGTGGGGGCGGGGGGGAGTGGGCTCCCCACTGAGCAGAGAGCCCTGAGCAGAGAGCCTGATGCGGGGCTCAATGCGGGGCTTGATCCGAGGACTCCAGGATCATGTCCTGAGCTGAAAGCAGAGGCTTTAACCCACTGAGCCACCCAGGCGCCCCAAGATACTATTCTTAAGTGGATCCATAAGTATATTGTGGGTCCCAGTTTTCAGAGCACCATTAAAAAATGTGACATTTGTGCTAAAAACCATTCTAAAACTGGCCCCCACCAGTTCTAAAAGGTATACAATTTAGAGGTGCCGAACCTGGAGAAAATCGGCAGGTAGACTTTACTATTATGCCAAAAACAACAGGTAATTTTCAATATTTCTTAGTCTTTGTAGACACCTTTACAAATTGTGCTGAAGCTTTTCCATGCTGTTCAGAGGAGACCTCAGAAATTGTCAAAAACACTTAAAAAAAAGATTTATGTATTTGAAAGAAATTGAGAGATTGAGAAAATAAGTGGGAGGAGGGGCAAAGGGAGAAGCCGATTTCCTGCGGAGTGGGGAGCCCGATGTTAAAGGATGCCATCCCA